ATTTATTATGTTCATTAATGTGTGTTGCAGCAAGACCCAAAAAGTTTGAGAACCTCTGAAAACCACATGCAGTTGAACTAGAGGCCTGTTTTGAAGCTACCAGTGGCTCAGATTTAACGTCTGTCAATCTGTTCTTACGACTTCATCACGAACGATTGAAGGTGATTGGATTGGACCAACGATGTGTCTGATGTGTCTTGCAGCCAATTCTGTATTTCTAACAGACATCACACATTCTTCTTCCTCAGTCTGCTTTATTTTGCTGTTTCGGTGGAAGTTAGAGCAAACGTATTAAGTCCTTATTAAACAGCATGCTAAAATGTTAACTTGCAGCCAGGATAACCAGCAGGTGCAGAAGATTTTTAATGTTTTACTTTAGTTTAAAAACAACTATACAGTTTAAAATAACTAAAACCTTCTACTTGGGTAAATGTAGGACAAACGTTGAGCCTTTAATCACCTGCAGCTGAACTAAAACCACAAATCTCTCTCGGATTGGTTCGTTCTGTTTACAAACAACTGTTTGTGTTTTAAACATTTCCTCTTTGCACAACGTAGCAGGAACTTTAAGGCACGGCAGCACTTTTATTCTCAGTTCGCCATGAGCTGTTTGACACCCGGGTGCGTTCATGCTAAAGTGGGCAGGGCTGTCTTAAAAAGGAGGGGCCTATCCACTGGAAGGAAAAGGAAGTGATGTTGCTCTATTCCATATATGGGCATGTAACAGTTTTTCATCCAATGAAATTTTTTGAATGTTGAATTACCAAAAATATAAAAAGTGGGTGGAGCCTGTTCGAACATGCCTTCTCGGGGAAATTAGACAGCTCAACTGCAAACATGGCAGAAAACAGGCTAAACTCTAAGAACAGTTGAATCTATCAGAGTCCCTGGGTACGTTTGTTGAATTCAAGATGGCTGCCACAGGTAATCAACACTAGCATTAGAGAAATGCTTAAAACTCAGTTATTTCAACAGACACTAAGCTAAAATGTAATGTGGTAGTAGCTGTGAGTCATCCCTGACACGTCCTCTGAGCTCTCACAGATCACACAATGTCTGTTTCAAACGTTGCATGCAGCAGCGGGCGACATGCATTCCTGTGAGGAACGCTGCTTACAGAGATCATGTGATCTGTCATGTGAGGAGCGGTTCCCGTTGTGCCCTCCGAGGGTCAAACGATCCCATTTAGAACCTTGTTAACCCAAAGTGCACGTCGTCGGGACCCTGAAGAACTTCTGGTTCTGATGTTTCCCTCTCCAGTTGAATCACAGAACTCTCTAAGAAATGGGTTCCTGTAGAGTTTGGACACACGTGTGTCGGTTTGTTAATGAGTTCCCTGCTCATTGTACATGTTGCATATGTTGAAGGTCTGAGGCGAACACTCAGGAGCTACAGTCAGACCACCTGGATCCAGTCCTGGACCCAGCAGGCCAGGACGTCCCAGCAGAACGTTCAGTGTTGCACAGATCGGGTGGTAGGCCGTCAATTGATAAGAGTCCAGTAAAGACCGGTTCAGTTTGTTTTTTGTTTTAGCAGCATTACCTTTAAGGGTTGAAGAGTCTTCAGTCAACTGAAGAGTTCTCCAGGACTCTAAACCGTTCCTGTTTGTGAGGAGAAGGTTCCTCGTCCAAACCAAGATTCATTCTTCTCCATTTGGCTTGAGGCTTTTAGCCATTGCATTTAGATCGAACAAACCCAGCTCTGAACAGAACCGGGCCACCATATTGCATCACCAGTGTGAAAATAAAACATTCAAGGACTTTTCCAGGAGTCAGCTTCTCGTTGGGTCCAACCTTCAAAACCAGCCGGGTCCAAAGAACCTGAGGATCAGATGGTTCCTCTCAGGAACAAACCTACTCAGGGTTTTGTGCAACGACACCTGAAGGTGCTGATTGTGCAGGGTGGGGGGCCAGGAGGTGTTGAGATACATGATGCTTGTCTGTAGTTTCAGAACCATCAGTCCAACGCCAAGGATCCAAAAGAAAAGAAGCGCCTCAGAGCCAGAATCACAGGTTCTGGGGCGGGTGGGGGTGGGGGGCCATTCAGATGGGTCCTGGTTTGGGGGGTGACGTCGGATGTTATAAGGAGGAGATTTTGACAGTTTCGTGGGTGAAGGCGGTGGCCCGGGTATTGCGCAGGATGCCAGGAATGGGAGCGGGTGATGGCGGGAGACTTTCATCCGGCGTGTTGGCGGGTGGCGTCGGGATGCTGATGATGGCGGCACTGAAATCCTGCTCACCGCAGTTCAGCTTCAGGTCTTCAGGCTGGGCGTTCAGACTGGAACGACTTGGGGGGGTGGGGAAACAAAGAGCGTCGGTTAGCGATGTCACAACGTTACATCATTACATCTTCAAATAAGAATGGGTCAGAAACCAGAAACGGGTTCTTTGTTTGATTCTGACCCGTGTAGCTCTGTGCTGTGTTGTTGATTTCATGGCTCCAGGTCAGATTTAAATTTTGTACCCAGAGATTGAAGACAAGACTCGGGTCTCTTCGAGTTCGAAGGGAAGACTCGGGTCTCTTCGAGTT